ATGAGGACCATCCCAAGAGTTTTAAAATGCTTAATTCTTCAATTTACATTGATGACTTATTTTATGGAGGTAAAACTGTAGAAGATGCATACCGATTGTCTGCAGATGCTGTAAATATTTTTCACAAAGCGGGTATGAATTTGAGAAAACTGAAATCGAATTCAGAGGAATTAAATACATTATGGATGAAGTCAAATATTAAAGGGCAAGATAATTTCAATAAAGAAACAAAATTTTGGGGCATGATTTGGGATCCTAGTAACAATGTAATAAATTTGAACATGAAACCAGGAGTCAATTGGAAATGGTGAAGGCAACACAAAAAGACTGATATTGAAAACTGTCACCAAAATATTTGACCCTATTGGATATCTGCAACCATTTATAGTTCGGGTTAAGATCATTTTACAAGACATTTGTCTTCTAGGTTTAGAGTGGGATGCTGCACTTCGCACAGATATCAAGAAAAGGTGGATGAACTGGTGTGCAGAAATGAAATGCTTAAAAACTCCTTAATGCCCTAGAAAATTATTTTGTAAAATTAATTACACGCAGCTGAGTGCTCATATATTTTGTGATGCGACACCTAGAGCTTTTGGAGCAGTGGCATATTTTAGACACACGGATGAAAATAAGGAAATTAAAACCCGTTTCATAATGGCAAAAAGTAGAATAGCTCCCCTCAAATCTTTAACCCTCCCCAGATGTGAGCTGCTTTGCTTTTTAGCCCGCCTTGTAACAAAGGTAATTCCGGTTCTTCACGTCTAATTCAACCACATTTATCTGTGAAGTGATTAAACAATTATGTTAGCATGGATCAAGTCTCTTCTTGAACGGCTGGAAACTTTTGTGTCTCACTGGGTTATGATGATCCAATTCTTTGCACCCAAATTTTGACTGGAAATAAGTTCCAACAAACGATAACGTTGCTGACATCAAATTGAGAGGTACCTCAGCTACAGAATTGTTGAAAAATTCCTAATGGTGAATTGGAACGGCTTGGTTGACTTTTGATCTTCCTGCACCAGGTGCTTGTGCAACACCTGTGGATGAGAACTTTGAAAAAGAACTAAAACTTTGTAGCTTACCAATTCTACTAAATTCATACTGTGACTTTATTGACAATTTTTTAACTATAAATAATAATTTCACTAAACTTTGTTGAATACTAAGCTTTAATTTCAGATTTTTCCATAATACGAAACACCTTACGTAACCCAAAAAGGGCAAATTAAGCATACAATTGAACCAAGCTTCAGATGTATTGGCAAAATTAGTACAAATGAATGAATTTTGTGAAGAAATTTCTTGTTTAAAACGGAACAAAGATATTAAGAATTGTAAATTAAGTAATCCGAACTCCTTTTTAGATGAGAATGAAGTCCTCCATGCAGGTGGACATTTACAGACTTTTATCAAAATAAAAAACATCTCAAGCATTTGCCTCCTTAGCACAAACTTACTATGGAATCCTTCCATAAGAGATATTTACATATAGGTCCTCAAACATTGTTACATTGCATCAGGCCAGAATTTTTACTAATAGGAGGAAGAAATTTAGCTCAAAAAATTATAAATGAATTTATAAAATGCTTTAAAAATAAACCCACATCCTCTAAGCAACTTTAGGGAAATTTGCCCACACAGAGAGTTAACCCTAGTTCCCCATTTTATAACTGTGAATTCCACTTCTATGGCCCATTTTTTGATTAAATACAAAGGTACAATTAAAAAAAAATGTTTCAATATTTGTACGCTTTACCACTACAGTGAATTATTTAGAGTTAATAACAGACTTATCTACAGCCACATTAACTGCAGCTTTAAAATGTTTCTTCACATCACGAAAATCTTCTTGATTATACTCTGATAATGCTCATAACTTTGCTGGCAAAAAATTTAGAATTAAAGAGGTTGCTTAATCTAATGAGCTATATCCATGATAGTTTAGCTAATTATCTAAGCTAAGAAAAAATTAGTTGGAAGTTTATTTCCTTGATATTTCCAAATTTCAGTGGACTATGGGAATATGGGGGGAAATCTTTTAAACACCATTTAAAATGTGCTGTAGGCTCAGCCAGACATATGTTAGAAGAATCTTTAACTGTAACCACAGGAATAGAGGGCATACTAAATAGTAGATCCCTTGTACCAATGTCAACAGATACCAATGATTATTCAGTTTTAACACATGGATATTTCTTAATAGGTCATTAATTACTGTCTATTCCTCAGCCCAATATAACTTACACATAAGATACTTATTTATCTAGATGGCAAAGAACAACCAAATCAGTGCAATTAGTTTGGAAGAACAGATTGAATTTCCATTTTGCATAGATTGTAAATAGTGTATTTGAATCTGTATATGTTTTTTTATACATACTTGAATTTTATTTACTTAATCTCCTTATTTACTTTTTTTTTAAAAAAAAAGAACATTTCTTTGTAAATTGTACAAATTTTGAACTGTAATGTAAATGTAAAATTGAAATTGAGATTTCAGTGGGGGGAGGGGTGTATGTTACATCATTACCTACACACCACAGCCCTTTAGTGGCACTTTTTGTATATATTTGGGCGAATAAATTCATATGCTCATTAGCAGTAAACAGTTCAGACACACTGCACAATACTGTTTATATGCTTCTATGATGACATCATAGATCTTGAAGATAGGCATCCAATTCAGAATGAGTAAACAAGGCACTTCGCACCAGAATCAAGTGAAAAATGTGCATCTGCAATACTATATAACCTATTTGCTAACACCTCAAATCAATTGAAAAAATTTTTAAAAAAAATTGATGTATTACTGGAAGTAATTTCAGTGTGCGGAAATAGATAACATGTTCATTTTGCTAGTCTTCTGTCAATCTTATATATATATTCTTTTAAGATTTGGCAGCTGACACTTTTAAGTTGCTACAGAAATGAATTCCATGTATTTTTGTTTACAACTGTTAATTTACGATGAATTAGCATGGGGTGCAAAAATTAATATTTTCAATGAATTTTACTTTTTTATTTTCATAAAGGCAAGAAAGTGGCTGAGGCTCACAAAGAAATATGTGAAGTTTATAGTACTGAATTGATTACCAGAACACATGTGTCAGAGTTAATTTTAAAAAAAAATTTTGGGAGATTTTTCACTTGAAGATGACCAAGATGATGACAAAATTAAAGCCACAATTGAATCAAATCGGTATATAGTTCCATGAGAGATTACAAAAAGGTCAAATGTATCACACACAACAGTTGAAAATCACATAAAATATCTTGGACGTGTTAAGAGCCTTGATATTTGAGTTTCATATAAACTGAAAGAAATTCACTTAACATAATGACTCAATATTTGCGATATGCATTTCAAATGTACCGACTCTTTATTTAAATGAATTATCACTGGTAATTTAAAATGTAAATGTCTACAAAAACATTAATTGAAAAAAATCATAGTCTAAAAGCATGATGAATCAGCACAAATCATATCAAAAGCTAAATTGCATCAGTAAAAGATCATGCTGTAAGTTTTGTGAGATTAAAAAAGTATTGTGTATTTTGAGCTGCTTCCAAACAACCAAATGATTAACTCAAATCTTTACTGCCAATAACAAACAAAGCTAGAGGAAGCAATCAGACAGAAAAGGCCAGAATTTGCTAATCGCAAAAGAATTGTGTTCCACCACGACAATCACACATCTTTAACAACTATACAAAATTACTGGAGCTTGGATGGGAAATGATGTCGCAACCCCCTTCTAGCCTAAACCTTACATGATTGGATTATCATTTATTTCATAGTTTATGAAACTTCTTGATGGTGAGAATTTCAGCAATAACAATGACTTCAAATAGCACTAAATATCAGAAGTTCTATTAGCACAAAATCATGTACCAGAAAGATGACAAAAAGTCATTCAACAGAATAACTAATTATATTATAAAGTTATTTGACTAATTAGAGTTCATCTTTTGTATAGAAATAATTGAATTTTATTTCACACTAAAAAACCGAAATTACTTTCTTGTCAACATAATAATTATTATTTAAAATGATATCATCCCTCACCCCCCCCAAAACTGAAAACGAAACTTTCAGATTTTATATTATGGCCAAAGGGACTTTTTTCCTTACTTTCATTTACACATGCATATACGTTTCAAGAGCATATGGGCTAGAAATATTTAAAAACAGCATACCATTTAAAATTTCTAATAAACAGTCTCGCATGCTGGAGAAACAGTCTCGCACACTGGAGATAAAAATATTTTATTTCATACAATGTGTTACCATGGCTTGCTTTGAAATTGTTGAGTTTCTTAATACAAAATTCATTACTACTTCTGACCAATGAAATCAGTTCAAATTCAGTCTTAAATTAATGAATTAATGGTAAAGAACATAAGCAGGTGTAAACAACTTAAAAGGAAAAAAAAGAGCTAAAAATAAATAAACAAAATAAAAATGAGTCATAATGAAAATTTAGTAAATGCTAGAAAAACAATAGGAATACAAGGGGGGGGAGAAATCAGCAGTAGCAAGGGAAATTAACTGTTGCAAGTACTGTTAGTACAATTAGCTGATACTGAGTTTTCTGCTTTATTATCACTAAGAAGTGACATATTTAGTTCCCACATGGCTTAAGACATCTTATTCAGAAAAAGTATTAAAGATTTCTACGTCTTATTTTACACAATAACATAGACACAAAACACTATACTTTGCAAATTTTATAAAAATTATTTGTTACTTGCAGAACTTTTTTACAAAGCAAATTTCTATTCATAAGATTTTCTACATATCAATAATTTAACATTCTGCATAAAAATTAACACATTATGCATTTTGCAAGTGATTAAAAAAAGATACATGATAATATCTCTATGACACTAAATCAAAAATGATAAAGGAAATTTAAAAAAATAATAAAATATTATACACAATCATCAACAAATGTAACTTAATTTCAATATTTCATATATATAAAAGAAAATACCACAAAACTCTGTAAGAGTGTCAGCTCTAAGTTTATAATGAGGGATGTGCTCTTCTATTAAACTAACTAATTCAACTTCAGCTGTATCAGCTCTACAACATATATCTGTAAAAGAGATAGGGGAAACAAAATTATTTCACTTCAAATACTAAACAAGAGCATCATACATTCATCATGCACTTTCATTCAATCTGATAAAGACTAAAACATCAAAAGTTCTTGTAAAACAATCTTATGTTATGCAACTTTAAACTAGATTTGAACTTATACACAATAAGATCATGCCTTAAATTAAAATGTTCAGCAATTCTGAAACTACAGTCAACTTTCACACACCATGAAGAACTAAAGCATTTTCTGAATATGCTCTTATGGTACAGTTGTCAGCATATTCAGCTAGCAATTTGGCAAACTTCCAATTCAATTCTCAAAGCAGGGAACCAGCAGCATTTAAGATTTTCAGCTCCAAAATTCCTAACGACTAGAATGGCATAGGAGAATGGTAAATCATAGTTCAATATCTATTTCATTTAGATTCCTTCTTTTTCTTCCAGTCACATTTTAAGTAGGAAGAAAGGCAGACATTCCTCCCATGTGTTTTGGGGATATAGTTGCCAGCACATTCAACTAGTAAATTAGAAGACTCAAATTAATTCCCATCAAAAATATCACTGAGATTTATTATTCCTGTTGTCATGATAATAAAGGAGCAGGCTTCCATAGTTTTGGACCCCAATTCACATCTCAGAGAAGGTATGGATATTTGTAAGTATACATGGTGCTTAGAAAATATCTAGAAGAAAGAAAACATCTGAAAATATGTGAAAAAAAAAATCTTTAAAATCAGGAAGGGTAGAATAAACAGATTTTCTAATGAAATGTGTCATAAAAAAGTGCTGTACTGGCATGAATTACCATTTCCAACACAAATTTCAAATGCTATGCATCATTACCTAAAAGCACAGCTCACTAACATGCATTTTACTTGTAAGGCTACATATGGAGATAAAGCAGTTGCTAAAAAGATGTACAGTGGAATCGTTTATTGCGTCTCCTTTTTAGTTGTTGCTTTGTTTTAGCAACTTAATGAAAGTTTTATGCCACCGCAAATACCGTCTACGCAAACAGTTCACGTTGGCATGTTTAATTATATTTTGTCAAAACGATTTTTGGCATTTGAAAGAAAGAGACTTGCATTAGAACACTGTGTGGTAAAATTTGTAAAAAGATATCCTTATCTATCATTAAGTACAAGGTGTCTGAAATGGAACTATAATGCTACCAAATTAGAACCACCATTTACTTCCAATTCTGTTGCAAAACTCAGCTACAGAATGTCACCAAATCATGTGTACAGCTTTAAATACTAACACTGTATCATATGACACAGTGAAAGTTTGGTACCGAAAGTTTAAAACCAAGAAATATGACATTCAAGAAGCAGAGCGTTTCGGCTGGCCTACTGATGTTGATCAGGCCCGCCAGTGAGAACTTGTGGAAGAAGGTCAGTATGCAACCACACGAGAGCTTGCTACGGAGTTAGATGTTAGTGCCATGTCCATTAGTTGCACTATGCATAGCATAAACTTGATATACAGGTTCAATCGCTGGGTGCCACATGAGCTCAAGCAGATAAAGACAGGCATGTTCGGGCTTGCACTAATGTGCTCAAATATCAATGTAAAGACAAAATTCTGGACCGGATCGTCACTTGTGATGATAAGTGAATTTACTTCAACAATACAGGCTGACAAAGGGATTGGTCTCCACCCGGTGAGCCTGTCGGCAGCATCACAAAGTACAATTTGACTAACAAAAAGTGCATACTTTGGATCTGGTGGGATTCCCGTGGTACTATCCACAAAGAGTATCTGGAAAAAGGTAAAACTTCCAACAGTAAGGTGCACAGCAAGAAGCCATTTTGATGCTGCTATCAAGGAAAAACTTCCGAGTTCCTGCACAAAAAGGTAACGTTCCATCAAGATAATGTAAGACAAAGTGTGTCTCCATCACTGGCTGGATTCTGCACGAACTTGAATGGGGTCCTTTCCCCACATAGTTCCGACATTGCTCCTTCGAACCTCTACCTTTTTTTCACACCTGCAAGTTAATCTTGCTGGTGCTGTCTTCCATTCAGCACAGGATGTCTGAAATGAGGTTGATCTATGTTTTGGACTCGGAGCCACCAAGTTTCTGGGCTGAAGAAACATTGGCAGAAAAACTACCTAAACTTTGGCAGAAAATCATAGATTTTGGTGGTGATTACTATCTGCACTAAAGGTACTGCTTTCATGTTTTTTTTTTTTTTTTTTTTTTTTTTTTTTTTCCTAACTTACTTTCATTACATTTACTGGAAAACTTTCATTACAACCAGATACATGCCAGCCACCTCTGTGTTTGTAAAGCAATGTATACTACTTGAAATCTGCATGGGGAATGACATCACCAGTTGAATGATTTTATCTTCCACTCAACAGCACTCTGTACCACTTCAAAGCAATAATTTTAGCACACACATTCCATAACCAAATCCACTGTTTTGGCCTCCACTATCTGCCTTTTCATTTTCGCTAAATACTTTCTGAGCAAATTATATGATGCTTTTGCATCATAAGTGCATTTAAAATAATATATGGCTAAAAGTCTTCTTGAAAGACTATTGGTATGGGAAAAGGGATAGGATACACTTGGATCTATACCCTTAGTGCTCATCATCAAAACTGGGATGTAGCTAAGCAAAAGCCGAACTGTCACTTATAAGATGGCCACTCTTGGATCCATACTTTTGGTGTTCATCATCAAAACTGAAATGCAACTGGGTATAATATGGCAAAAGCTGATGTGTCACTTATAAGATGCCCAAGATTCCAGTAAATGAAAAGCACTCACTATGCCTAGGCCATGATGGACCTAAGATCCTCTCAAATCAAGACCAGAGACCAGAGACCACTGAATTTTCAAAACTTCCTGCTCCATGAATGACACTAATCACCATATAAAGATCTTGAAGTGTAAAATACCACTTTGGTATATCCAAAGGCTTTTTTTTTTTTTTTTTTGTTTGTTTGTTTGTTTGTTTGTTTGTTTGGCTATTAAACCTGACATACCCCCTTCCAGAAAAAAAATTCCTGCAAATATATTCCCTATAAAATACATTTTTATCAAAATATTTGGATCCTTATGTATAAATGTATAATGTATTCACATTTGGTCAAAAATGTTAGGTGAAAAGTGAATGTTAGGTGCCTATGTTGGTATAAAAGAAGTACATAAATCTGCTGTTGCCCAAAACTGTTGGTTAGAAAATCACATTTTCCATCATTCTGTGGCCAAAATTATTTTTAAAAAAATCTTCTGTTGGTGAATTAGATTTTCTAGAGGAATTTTGCATTCATAAAAATCTTTTAGTTTTCATTAACAATCCCAACTCCAATCCATATTTACCCTGAGCTTTTAAGAAAATTATTTCGTAGTTTTTCTTTTCATTTTTCATCAATAGATGACACCAGTAGCTTGATTTCCTTCCTCCCATTTTTACTGCCTTATCTCATTCTTTCTGGCTTCTCTTTCACCATTTGCACTTCTGCAGCTGAAGAAGGTTCTATATTTATTTTTTCAGAACTAGTTCTGAAAATTTATGAATGTTACGCTGATTCTTGTTGCTTTAACTCCTCCAATAATCATTATTTGGCATGCTACTTTAATTCAAATATGTACGTACATTAGATGAAGAAGATATTGTTGCGTGCGTACAGGTTCGTTATGAAATGAATGCACAAGTCCGATGAAAAATGAACAAAAATTTATTATTATTAAATTTATTATTGCTTAAATTTTTTCAAATTATCATGCAGTATTACAATATCTCACAGTAGTTATCTTTTAACTACTCAAATGTCCAATAGAACGTAATTCAAAACAGCTAAAGAAAGCTAATCCGCGAATTTGCTACAATCAACAAGAGCTGTTTTCTAAACAACAACAAACTAAGCAACTACTACGAACTGAGATGTTTTTTCCTCCTTTATTAGAAGATTTTAAAATCACGCGCTAGAATTTTCCAGTACTTTCTCGAAATCAAAAGAGATATTTATTTATTTAATGCACGCGCTCTTGTATTTTCAATTTTCCAGCTTAGCTTTCTTTTAATATTCATCCCGCGCTGCACTGCGCGAGAAATAAAACCATTTAATTTATAATTGAACTAACTTTAGCTTTTTAAATACCAAATTTGTAACAATATGAAATAAAATTCTGTCTTCAATTAGTAATAACCTGATAATTTTTTTTAATTAGGTTATTTCCCTTTTTATCCTCTGAATAACAATATTCTTATAATAAATATATCTTGAGTGCATCATTTCATAATTAATCTCTTTTTTATGCTTCTTATATACTGCTTATGATAGATGTATGAGAATCAGTCAAAAAGTTAGTTGCACTGTGTAAGAAAACAAAACAGGAGCACAATTTTCCAATAACTTTATTATATCTTAAAGTTCCATTCAAAATCTACTTTTCGAACGTAATTACCTCCATTATTAAAGCATTTGTTGAGGCATGGTACTCGTTTTTTGATGTCTTCTGCAAAGAAATCCCATCCAATGTTCGATAAACATTGTTCGGCTGCAGCTTTCACTTCGGCGTCCAAATAGTGCTGTCGCTTTGAAAGTTCTTGTTTCATGGAACCAAACGTATGGAAGTCCGGAAGTGAAAGGTCTGGGCTATAAGAAGGGTGATTCCCCAGTTCCCACCTTAACTTTTTCAGAAGGTCACACATTTGTTTTGCTGCATATGATCTTGCATTATCATGCAGGAGCACAATGCCATTCGACAGTTTACCTGGCCGTAGATTTTTAAGTGATTGTCACAATCGTGTTAGTGTTTCACAATAAGAAGATGCATTAATTGTGGCACCCTTCGGCATAAATTTTGTATGCACCACGCCTTCTCTGTCAAAATCCAGCATCAACATCACCTTTCCAGCAGGTGGAACAGTTCAACACCGTTCATGTCAGGGAACTGCAATGTTTCCACTCGAGCGAGCTGCGTTTTATTTTGGGTGAGAAGTGGTGAATCCAAGTTTCATCTCCAGTCACAATTTTGTCCAAAAACTCCTCCATTATTCCTCCATTTCCTTCCATTTGGTAATGTTGCAGAATTGCAAATGCAATTTCAAAACGCTTCCCTTTATGTTCCTCCATCAATAGACGTGGCACCCATCGAGCACAAACTTTATGAAATTTAAGGTGATCGGCAATAATTTTATGCACACTTCGATGAGAAATATCCAGTTCATTTGAGATTTTGTCTATTGTTATGCGTCTGTTTGCAAGAATGCGTTCATTCATGTGAGCAGCGATTTCCAAATTTGTTGCGATTGATGGTCTTCCATCACACTCAACGTCGTCAATATCCGTACGGCCATTCTCAAACATGTTGCACCATTTCGTGATAGCTTGACATGACATTGCATTTTCACCATACACTTCATGCACCTTTTTGCCCACAAAAAACAAATCACTGCACGCATTTCCAATTTGGACGCTCTAATAATTTTGTGCATCTCCAGATCAGATGATGGTGGTTCAGTGGGTTTACTAATTTTAACACTTTTACATTTTAAAACAATATTTTAATTACTATATACAGAGCGTATTCTTAGTAGCCGCCGCCTTCAACATGAACAAACTTTATCTCTTACAACTAAGCGAGCAACAGCGCCCTCTAGCCTTTTTCCTTCAAATTACACAACACTCCCCACCTGAACTCGTGGAGAGTTCATCTTTCAATAATATATTCTAGAATATTCAATTAATATTTCGACAATAAATCCTGGAGAAATGGTTAAATATAACAAACATGCATACATAATTATAAGCACATAAAATTTTACAAAACATTAAATAATACCTATCAGCAAGGTCAGGAGAATCAAACCTAAAAATAAAAAATACAAACATTAGTTAAGTTCCATATTATATAACAATTGTATAGGCCTTTTTAAGGTACCAGTAGGTGTTTTAATTATGCAAGATCTTATTTTTACCATCTCTGCCTGGCATTAATTCCAAAATTTGCCCTATTGTCCAAGATTTCTGGGATTTTAATTGATAGCAGGGCAGAGATAGTAATCATCATACCAACCAGAAAATTGAGCAGAGGGCGTTAGTGGAGAAGGTTTCATTGGGATCGGTAAACACGTAGGTAATTGGTCTACAATTAATCATTGCCTTCGATTTCAATGAGCACTGTTTCAAGCTCTTGTCAAAGGGATGATCGACCAATAATTTTTCGCAAGCTGGATTTTATGGTTCGTACCATACGCTCCCAAAAACCTCCCCACCATGGACCCCTCTCAATAATAAATTTCCAATTTATGCCTCTAGCAGAAAATAATTCTTTCACAGATGAGTCACTCAAAGTTTTAAAAATATGTTTTAGTTCTTTATCAGCTCTTTTAAAAGTCTTGGCATTATCGGAGTACACGGTGGTACACAGTCCTCGGCGAGCTAAAAATCTTCGGAAAGCTAGCAAAAAACTTTCAGTGCTGAGATCAGTTACTATCTCTATATGTAAGGCACGAGTGACCGCACACGTTAACAACAGCATGTAAACTTTACCTTGCCTGTCTTTCGTAAAAAATGGACCGGCGAAGTCCAACCCGGTCACAGCAAATGGAGGCGACTCTTGAATTCTGTCTGGAGGAAGTGAAGCGATATCCTGTACCCCAGGACGAGCACTATATCGTTTGCATATCACACATTTTCTGATGATAGTCTTAACACGCTGTCTTCCCTTAATGATCCAATATTTGTCTCTGATCTGAGTTAGTGTCGAATTAACTCCAGCATGGAATACCCTTTCATGCGAGTCCATGATGATCAACTCGGTAAACTTGCATTTTGAGGGTAATAGAATAGGATGTTTTAAATTCTCGTGACAGTCTGCAAATTGAATGCGACCTTTCAACCGAAGAATTCCCTCCTCATCAAGCCTTGGATTAAGGGAGTAGATGGAAGAATCGAGAATTGATTTTTTTTATTTGATAACTTAATTATTTCCGCTTGATACGATTCTCGTTGCGTAATTTTACCCAATAATGTTCAGCTGCTTTAATCTCAAAAGCACTTAAAGGTCCATTCTCTGTAGACCTTTTCCGAAGCCTCCCAATAAATCTAAATACATAGGCAGTAATTCGAAGTAAGTATTTTCCTAAGAACTGAATTTTTCTATATGCAAAATTGGGGATTCATTGTTAATTACAGGTTGCAGTCAAAATAATACTTTTTCTTAACTCCAACGATTCTGAATTTGGTTTTAATTTCTTTTGTTTTTGGAAAGTTTTCAATAGGAAAACGTAACCAGTGTGGCCCATGCCACCACAAATCATTCTTAATTAGTGACTGAGCACTAATTCCTCGAGTTAGTAAATCGGAAGGATTTTGTTTTCCTTCGCAATAGTGGTTCCACTATTTTTGTTGCATATACTCTGTATTTCTGTAACACGATTGGCGATAAATGGTTTCCAATTATTTGGCGAACCTTTAATCCAAGTAATGGCGATTTCGGAATCACTCCAAAAATACAAAACATTCCTCATGATTGCTCTTTAAGGTGCAACTCTGCATTTCGACATGATAAAGGAAGTTTTAATTTTAGAATCACTCGTACAATATCTGAAATAAGAGATGGCCCCATATGCTTTAGGACTAGCGTCCGAAATAGGTGAACGCTTATATTCATTGGATCGTCATCAAAGAAATTTCTCTGTATCGATATTTCAGTTAAATCATTAAGTTCCTCCCGCCAAATGTTGAATTTGTCCTTAATCTCTGCAGGAAGGACCTCATCCCAGTCAGAACCGGAACACCAGATTTCTTGCATAATAATTTTTGCCCGAATAACAAAGGGTGCAATAAATCCAAATGGATCGTATATTTGGGCGATGATTTGCAAAAGTTTCCTTTTTGTAGCAAAATCGTTTCCAGTAGAAAAGTCAATTAAATTTTTTAAATTTAACTTTATATCGTGTCTTCAATGGAATTCCAAATCATGCCTAAGAAATTCGATTCACTAGTTTAATTTGTTGTCTGATTCCTTAATCCCATCTGAGACCCATAAATCGTTTAATGCTTTAGAATTAGTTTCTTAATTTTCTGAAATTCATCCCAGCATCCTTAAATATATTAACCGCATCTACAGATAACCGATATGCATCTTCAACAACCGTTCCTGCTCCAAAATATAGGTCATCGACATAGACAGAAGAATTTTAACATTTGGAAACTGTCCGGCATTTTATCTTTATATTTTCGAATGTGATATTTTATAGTGGCGGCCAAAATGAAAGGAGATATAGTCAAACCGAAAGCTACGCGACACATTTGCATAATCTTAAAGGAGTCATTATTTTCATTAAACCAAGAAATTTTAGAAATTTTCTATCACCTTCAGCAATTCCTATCATCAAAAAGGCTTTTTCAACGTCTCCACAAAACGCTATCTTAAACTTACGAAAATTTAACATAATGTCTAGTATTTGGATTTAGATTAGGTCCCGATTCAAGGCAGTCATTTAACGAATTCGTGTCCTCTGTCCTTGAGCTAGCATCGTACACAATTCTTACCTTAGTAGTTTCACTAGGTCGTATCACTGCTCGGTGCGGCATAAAATATCCCAAATTTGTATCACTATTTGGACATTCCTCCACAATTCCTTCTAATATCTGGTTCTCAATTATATTTTTATATTCCTGAAAAATCTCCGGAGTTTTACTTAGTTTATTGTGAAGGTTTGCGAATCGTTTCTTAGCTACCTTAAAATTATTTCCCTAGATTATTCGGACTGTATTTCCAGATTAAAATTTGCCTCATATCTTCCTGTTTTTAAACTGCAAATTTCTTTCAAACTGGTCTATTATTTCGCAGTCAATATCGGAATAATCATCAGAATCATTAATTCCCATATGTTCTAATTCCCAAAACCTCTTAAATCTTTCAACACAATAGTGTTTGTCATTACCGCTAAATTTTCAGAACAATTTTTATTCGTTTTATTTTTCTCGATTCCTGCAGCAACCCAACCAAACACAGAACTGACTGCGTACAACCCTTCAGATATTTTAATTCTTTCGGAATAAACTACATTCCAGAATTCATCCCCGCCAATTAATATCTCAACATCTGTGTTATTTTTTCTAGAGCAATCGGCGATCTGCAACCCCAGATGCTCCATGAAGTCTGCAATTTGTTTACTAGGCACGAGGAACTGTTTATAGGCGATGGGCGCCGAGGAAATAACATCCGAGATCAAACATTCAATTTTTATTTTATTATTTTTGTTTCCAATTCTTGAATTTCGATTTTAACGACCGGATAGGAATGATTCATTGCCTTCGTCGCACCGAAATGAATAAACCAGAAAGTCTTTCATAACGGATTGGAGTAAGTTTTAAATGGTCGGCCAATTTTTTCGTTATAAAAGGATCTGTGACTGCCTTGATGAAGAATTAATCTAGTTAATTTTGATTTATACTTAGAACAAGCATAAACTGTAACAAGTTTGTAATAATATTTCCCCTGGCATTACAGTCATTATTATTATCACCTGAGGAACAGAAGCAATCAATTTTAAGTTTTGAACTTTATTTCTTTCCTCAGAATTCAAAGTCAGAGATTCAGTTTCATTTTTGGAATAACCTTGTTCCAACTTTTTGTTTACAAGGGATTTTATTAGTACAAATCGATTCATTGTGATACATACCGCCACATTTATTACATTTAGTTTTATTTCTGCACCTTTTTGAAGTATGGAATTTTTTTAAAACAAGAAAAGCAGCGGTTTTTCGGATCTTAGTTTCTTTAATTTATCAGAAACATTCACTTTGCATTTAAATGACTCGTGCAAATTATCACAAAAGATGCATTTTTCGGTTAACTGCAGTATGAAAATGCAGCCGTGGGTGTATTTTTTACATATTTTTCTAGTTTCATATTTTGATTGATCGACTCGCGGAGGCACAGGATTTTTCCCTTTCGCTTAATACTAGATTTGAAACTTCCCTGCATTCTATTTCCGTTTTAATAATTGTGTTAATTCCGAAACTTCAACTTTATCTTTCGATCCTCTTTGCCGATTAAATTCCAAAACTAAATCGTCCGGAATTAATTTTAATAATATTGGAATTAATAAATGTCCATATGAGCCAGAAGTTACCTTCTAAAGTTTCCAAATTACGAATCGAAACTTCTAATTTCGTCATATAATTTACGTAAAGCCTTTACGTTAGCAGAATTTTTAACACGGCTTTTAAATTGAAAATTTTATTCATGAATGAATTAATGATCAAGGTCTTTTCGACCATATCTGTCCTTTTAGTGATGCTACACAACTATCATAATTACTTTCTGTTAACTCAAAGGCCTGGACACAACATTCGAAGCTTGTCCCGTTAAGAATGTTTTTAAGTATACAAATTTTTGTATTTTTGAAAGAGTTTCGTTTTTATGTATCGAATTTTCGAAACTATTCCAAAATTCATTCCATTGTTTGGGGTCTCCCCAAAATTTATCACTCATTAATTTTGGTAATTTCAGCGTACTACTCTCCCACTAGAACTGGAACTTACATGCAAAATTCCATTACCACTAGACTGGTTTAAATCAGAACTTTTGGGATTCCTCGCTGGCGGTACTGCGGTAACCGCACCTAGAAACTGCTTAATTTGACTACTACAAGCAATTATACATTTGTCATTGTATTCCTTCGCTTATACTACAATCTTCTTCAATTAAGTTAACATCAATTAACTCTTGTATTTCATCATCAAGCGTTCTTAGATTATTTTTCTTTTCGGTTAATAATTCAAACAATTCTCGTAATTCTTTAATCAATTTTCCTCCCCTTCAATTTTTTAATTTATCTTCAATCACTTTAA